TCAAAAATTTCTGAAGTAATCCGAAAAGTAGCAGTTACTTTTTGAGTTACGGTCAATTCAATCAGTTATTATAATTGAATACCTTTTAACCAATAAAAATTGTAATTGTAATCGATTCATTTTTTTTCGTCTTTTTTATTTTTTTTTTTCCAATAACGTGTACAAGACTGGGTGAGACTGTATAGGCGACTCCAGCGCAATCGACGACACGTAGCGGCCAGAACAGAAAGCTCTGGCGGCGGGTTCGCTCGCTAGCCTTCTCGATCGAATCAAATATCCGCTGCGCCTGGCGGTCTAAGCACGAAACCGTGAAGGTTGGTTCGAAAACGCGCGATGAAAGTTGCCAATAGCGCACGTCTGCGTGTCCTGCCGCTTTTGCCGCCTACCCTCGTCGAGCCTGAGCGCGTTCGCCGCTAGGGGCGGGTCGGGGATTCACTAATGATGACGTAATGCCGAGATCCGTAAAAGTCGGACGGCTTCTCTTGAGATATGTAGCGCTCTCCAAGTGTTGCGCCTGTCCAACATGGGTCCCAAAGAGGGGAGGGGAACGGGGAAAGAGGTGTCGTTTCAATCTCCATTGAAAGGTGGAGTGGACCAGAATAACCACGATATAAGCGTCTTCTTTCTTTTTTCTCGAGTTATTTTTTAAGAAAAATATTGAGTTGCATCGTTGAAGCAACCGGGGGAAAATATATCCCCTAAAAATGATACCCAGAAGAATGGGCCTGAATTCAGTGCTTTCGCCTTATGTGCCAGAAAGACTCAAGCCGAGCGCATAGAGACGTTCCAGTATGCGGTGTTCGCGAGCATTACGCGTACTTGAATCGCTTCCCAAAGTGAGGTGCACCCTCGCGCTCCCAGGGTGTAATTTCCGCACTTTCGGCCGTGCGATTGTAAACATCCACTCGATGAAAAAGAGGAAAAAGAAAAGAAAGCGGCTCCCTAAGTAAGGTTATATGGCATCTGCTTCAAGGGCCATCAATGTAACGCGGCAGCCGTGTGTGTATGTCCGGTCCTGCTTCATGCAGAAGACGGCAGGCAATTTCGGCTCTTTCAGCGTGCCGGACACATTCGCAGAAATGAAGCCGCCGTCGCCGCCGCCGCCGCAACTCCGTTTCACCTTACGATGGACTGAAGGGAGACGCTGCCAGCGAAATCGATCCGATTCGGTGCGAATGTCAGGTGACCATCGCCTGGTCCGCAGCCACGCGCGGAACGCGTTGTTCACGTGTTAGTTTCGCAGTTCCGGATTGGCTGGGATCGCTCGTAGCGTTCGTTGCGGTCCACCACCGGGAGTAGGCGCATGGGCGGTCCCGCCTCTCGGGCCTTGGAGCTCGACGCGTGTTTGCGAAAAGACGCCCCCTCCAGGCCTCGCGCGGCTTTTCCAGAGGAGAAGTGCCCATTTGCGCGCGGACACGCACCTCGACGGAAATGGAAGAGAGCGCTAATGCACGCGCCTCTTGCGGGCTGCTGCCTGCGGCCTATTATCGGACCCTTGCTCCCAATCGATGACGAGGAGCTTTCCGGGCAGGCTGAGCCATCGCTTCGGTGTGGCGCGTAAGCCAAGCTGGCGGGCCCGGCGGCAGCGATGGCCCCGTGATGGCCATCTCCATCAGCGGTGGGCGTCTGGGGAAAGTCCGGGTCTGCTACGGAATGGGCCGGGTCTCGAAGCCGTGTATTGGGGTTCCCTCCGAAGGTACGGCGAAGCCGCACGTTTGAGGAAGAGAGGGAGGTAAGGTGAAAGCAGGAGTGCCAGGACTCGAGCTCTACTCGATGTTGGTTTGGTAATGATAAGAAAGAAAGGAGAGCTTACGCGGTGCGGCACTCCGAAAGTTTTGTGGCAGTGCGGTCAAAAGTACGGGGGCGCGTGTTTGGGGTAGAGTAAAGCTGCACACACGGAGTGCTCTGCTGTTTGGATATGCTACAGATTGTTGTCCCCGAGTCTAATCAGATTACCCGAAGAGGATGAAAAATCTTATAAATGGCGCTCCGCATTAAAGACTAATGGCGGTACGCCGCTGGTCGACACCATCACTATCCGCTCCTTTGTACGCCTATGGACGAGCGCTGGCAGGATTGTCCTTACAAAGCATACCCATTTCGGCAACGGACTTTCCCCACAACATACAGAGCGTTTCTTTTATCTTTTTTTTTAATCTATATTATCGTGTCTGTTGTTCAGAGATTCGCCCATGACTGGTGAGGTGGAGTGTAAAATGACCTGACGCTGGCGAATCCCAAATCCGCTCAAAGAAACGTCAGGTTCGCGCAACGTTGACATTGCCATTTTTTGTTCACAAACCCAGTTCGTGTACGTAGCCCTCACGGGCTACCCTTTTCTACCCTTGTCCACTAAACACGAGCAGTCAAGTGTTCTTACCCCGCTCCTGGCAGGTGAACTTGGGGCACGAAGCTGACCCAAGCCGTTCCCCACAAAACGCAGCGCGGCTACCTCAGCTCCCCGAAAACGCCACCAGAAAAGAAATAAAAACAAACAGAAGAAAACGTCGCGCGTCATTTTTGTCGACTATAGAAAACCCAGAAAGCGGAAGGGACAGTCGAGAGCCACCGGTCGCAATGCCCATCCAACGTCCACTCTCTTCTCCACTAACGGACTGCGACCAGCGACTTTGGCACCGGTGAAAAAGCGTTCCTTGAATGAGACCGCGCAGTCGTCTTCAGTTTCCGACGCAAAGCCCCCCCCCCCCCCCCCCCCCGGGCCGAGCGCACATTTCCCTTTTCGTTGTTGTTGTTGTTGTTTCTTGTTTTTCGATCTAAGCAAAAACGGAAGTGGCCACCAGCTGTCACAAACTATCGCACGTGAGACATATGCGAACCCAAATTCGAGTGACACCCGCACCGCGCGTGGGCGCCGCTCCATATTTTGTGCGCTTTTTTGTTTGTTTGTTTTGTCGCGGAGTTGCTTTAGCGTTTGTTCGGCAAAGAGGTAGCAAACACAATGAAGTCGGAAGTTGTCCGCCTCCGGCTCCTCCCGCCTCTACATCCTCCCCTTATTTTTATCGCGCGACGCCGAGGGACCAGGATTTTCCTTTCGATCAAAGAGAAGACGAATGCAACGGTCAAGGCGGAAATTTCGGCGGCGCCACAGAGGAAATGAGATTTGCGCGTTGACCATCCCCCGGGCGTCCCCGTGTCCGGTCCTGTCTCCTTCGCGGCGCGGAGTAACCGGCTACGTGGGAACCAGCAAACAAACGAAATCAAGGGGCAAAAAAAAAAAAAGAAACAACTCGAAAGGCCAGCAGGGACCTTGTCGCTCCCGGGGTCCAAACAATTCCCCCTAATCAACGCGCAGAGTCTGCGGGGACGGACAACCCGAAGAAGTGGCACGGCGCGGTGGGACCGCTTACAATGGCGTTCTCCCCGACCTCCTCGACAACGATCGTAACCCCTGGCCGGTGATGAGCTCGGTCCCGTCCACGAACCAGCGGGGGTCATGGAACCACACGCGCGGGGTCCGCGGAAGGGGCCGATACTGCGTTATCCTCTCTCTGGGACCGTGGGTCACTAATGGAGCTGTACCGCTGTCACAGCAAAGGACGTTCCTCGTTGTCCCCGAAACCGCGGCTCTCGGTGACGGGGCTCGTTTATTCGAGGTCCCGGTTTCGAATTCATTGGCTCGCCCGCATCGGTATACAGAGGGGAGGTGTCGGTGAACGGTGTAAGTGACGTGAGAGCATGTTCGCATCGCCCTCTTGGCGGCTTGCACTTCAGCAAAAGGATATCTGAGACCGGAAAATTTCGTTTTCTTCAATTAAGTCGCTTATACATACGCGAAGAAGCATGGCGTGAGCGTTTGAACGACGTAGTTTACTTACAAAGCTAATAACTAACTGTTGATGCATCCTGCAGCTTCGTTGAGTTTCTCGCTAACTGCGCGAACGTTCGGGAGCTGTTGATCTGGTACTCCGTGTCACTTTCAGTTCCGGCAAATGATACGCTACGAGACCGAGCTCCACAATTTTAGCGGGTCTGCCAAGTACCTGCTTGCTCATTTGTAGTTCCGGCTTCGCTAGAAACCTTTTGAAAAACCGTTTGTCTTAGCTCTTAATTAATGCAACCATCGTATATTGGTTTGTTATAAAAGGGGATCCCTGGTAGCAATGTTGGCGTTACAAGTAACGGCGTTACGGGTAACGCCAACATTGGTGGCGTTACCCGTAACGCCACCAATATTCGTGGTAACGTAGTAACTTACTCGTTACTTTTCCGGAACAGTAACGGGTAACGTACTTACGTTGCTTATTTCAAGTAACGGGTAGCGTAGTTACGTTACTCGTTACATGTTCTTCCCAAAACCTGAAATAAACGTGGTACACTTTATTATTTTTGTGTTTCTAGACTCGTCTTACCATAAGTCCAGATGCAGCCGACGCTAAGAGCTAAGGGGACCGCTTAAAGAGCGATGAAAAGGCACCATCATGGTTTTCGTCACGTTTCTGTACCTGTTTTATCATCGCTGAACCAACCATAAAAAAAACCGGGGCTTGAGGTTTTCACGTTGTTTGATTGACACCATTAACTCGTAGCCTCGGCTGCGATTTTAAAAAGAAGGGAAGTATAGGCGCCAGGTAATTAATTATTGCACTCATTCTACATACCTTTAATATTTTGCCTGACTTTTCCTCACGCTAGAAGTACCACTTCAGAAAAACACTAACGCCCACGCCCTTTGTTCCAGTGCGAAAAAAAACTGGCGCCAAAAAAAAAACAAAAAAAAAACGCAGTTAACGTTAATTTAGAAATAAAAGTAACGCAAGAATAACGTGCGCTACTTTTTATCGGTACCGATGACGCGTACCTTTATTTCGTAAGTAACAAGCAACGTATTTTATTACTTTTTTTACGGTAATGCCTACAACACTGCCTTGTAGTCATTTCAACTATTTATCTATAAACTAGTTTCAATAGCGATTCGATTTAAGCTGACTCGCTTTCGGATGATCATGATGTACATTGCATGGTTCCTGTCAATGTTCCAGATTCTATGGACATGAAGTCCGGGCCGGGTCGGCGAGTCGTCCAGGCAGGCACCTTGAGCATGGGTCCTGGTGGGAACGGGCTCGGGGCTCTGGGAATGGCTGGTCTTCTGCCTGGTCCTGAGTGCGCCGGCTGCCAGAAGCCTATCCGCGAGCGGTTCCTGCTCAAGGCCCTGGACCAGCTGTGGCACGAGGACTGCCTCAAGTGCGCCTGCTGCGACTGCAGGCTCGGCGAGGTCGGCTCCACGCTCTTCACAAAGGCCAACCTCATCCTCTGCAAGAGGGACTACCTCAGGTCAGTTAAGGGCACGCCTTTCACATTGCGCCCCACCTGCTTAGGCGGAATCTAAAGTAAAAACAAAATGAATTATAGGGCTCTGGCATGTTAAGAATAGGTCGGTTTGAGATAGCGCCATATTTCCTTAGGGATGATTAGTGACTGGCTCTGAAACGAAAATCCCGTGGCACCAATGAACTTAGGCTTCGGGTCGTGTGACTAATGTCTTCGTTCATTGCAGGCTCTTCGGAACGACTGGCCTCTGTTCGGCATGCAGCAAGACGATCCCTGCCTTTGAGATGGTTATGAGGGCACGAGGAAACGTATACCACCTGGAGTGTTTCGCTTGCCAGCACTGCAACCACAGGTGAGATAACGATCATCGAAATAAGCGTGCTCGCATCCTATCGATGTTAAATGGGTGGTGAGCTTCGTGTTTCCTCTCAACTGCTTTTCGGTAATGCTCATTAGGGCAACCACTCCAGTATCCTTGTACACTCCATGTATTACCTGTGGTTACATCATGCCGTTCGTCGTAATCGCAGGTTCTGCGTTGGCGACCGGTTCTACCTTTTCGACAACAAGATCCTCTGTGAGTACGACTACGAGGAGCGGTTGTCCTTCCAGAACGTCCCTTTCCCCGGCCACACACCCAGCAGCAACGCGAACAGCAACAATGGTTCCTCCGGCGGCAACAACCCGTCGTCTGGCAATCCGTCGGGCAGCCGGGACGGCAATGCCTCTAACAACGCCGGTAGCAACGCCGGAGGTCCTCCGACCAGCGGCACGTCTCCAGGCAGCAACGCTACGCTCCAGAGGCTCAAGAGGCACACGTTGGACCATATGGCCGTGCAGGACGACGCATCGAGCGGCTACGGGAGCCCGGACTCTCTGCTGAGTGACGGCAAGTGACCCAGGGACAAGAGCGGCCGTACGCACGCCGCCGCTGGGCTCACTTGCAAACAGGGCCTGAGCTAATAATGCCCCTTCTGGCGGACTCTACCGGAGCTGCGAACACTTCCCGTCTCTGCTCCGTGCGTGACAGTGCGAGTGTATGTGTGCGTGTGTGTGTGTGTCTGTGCGCCTGAAGGCAGCATCCGGCCTATTCCCAGATGCTGCGTCCAGTGAGACTATGTCGTTGATGTCGTCGTGGCGCCGTCCGACCTTCCCGGAGTGTCCGCCAGACCCGGTTTGAAGCGGGACATCCCGGACGGGGGCACTCCGGCCTTCGAGGACGGTACGTGTTTATTCTTTTTCGATGGGCCAAATTTAGACGCTCCTCTTAGCTCGTGGCGCTTCTTGCCATACTATTGCACTTTGAAAAACTGCAGTATCTATGTCGTCATCTGCCGGTACATGGAAGAAAAATAAGGAAGCCTTTCTCGCGTTTTTCGCGACTATCACAGTCGCATATATTTTGTCAGTTCCATATGTTGAGCAAATCCTGGACAGACCATAGAAAGCCATCATGTATTGCGTGATGCGTGGATTTTGCCGAAATGTCATAGAAGTAGTCGCTGCAGTCTATACGCAATGCCATCTTAACGAATTAAGTGAATAGATATTTTTCTGTTTTGTTAGCAAACCTGCGGTCTTCTATTAGATGGTTTTGGTCATATTCCACTTGTAATATTGCATTTTTCATTAACTTGTTTTGTTCTTTTTATGTAACTTTATATAAATTGCAAGAACGCTAAGATTGTAGACAGCGTGAGGGCAATCGTCCAACGTACAGTATGTCACCGATTTCATTTAGAAAGAACAAAAAGGGGGGAAAGCGCGCCGTATAAAACATAATAATGAAATAACAATTTACTTATTCAATCCCAGAGCGGTCTATATAAAGGGCGGTCCAGTCCGACCCGCAAAACGGCATCCAGCCGGGAGCTTCCCGCACTCGGAAGCCGTTTTCTTTTTATCTTCGGTAGCCCGTTGCGGCTCGAAAGTGTGCGGTTGTGTTAGGGCGATGCAGCTAGCGCACCGGCGACGGGCGAGGGCGAAGGGAAGGGGAGGGGCGAATTCGAGGGGGTTGAGCGGAAAACAGAAAAAAAAAAAAGCATGGTAGTCATCACGGGCGGAGAGTGAGAGAAATTCCTCCTTGAGGGATTTTTGAGTGACTTCGAGGGGGAGAATAATACAGAATTAGGGATCGTCCGGCTCCCAGAAAATTACGATCCGTCTCCCGGAACACGCAAAATGTAACCATTGACGTCACAGGGAACGTCACTCCCGGGTCCCGGACGCTCCCGCACGACCGTTTTGCGGGTTGGAATGGACCACCCTTAATATCTCAATTAGCGAGCTCTACTTTGGGACGTCCTATAATTATCGAACACTGTGTCCGTCTTCGGAAGAGCATAAACGGATATCGCGTGGCCGTGGCACTGGCCGGTCGAAAGACGGGGACGCCGGCCGGGCAACAACGGTCGTTGGTGCACAAACAGATCGCGGCATTATGAATTTATAGCGAGTCCCCCCTTGGGAGAACGGGGGGGGAGGGGGGGGGGGGGTAGGGAGGAGGGAGGGGGGTGGTCGAGAGGGTTGGGCGCGTTGCCGAGCCGTCCACAGCGCGATCCCGGGGTCCCATTTGCTCGCACGAGCGCCATGCGTCCATTAGGCGTCTCGGCACTTCTCTTTCTTATTTACCTAAGTGGCACCGGGTGCAAAAAATAAAAGGCCCGCGGCCGGCTGCCGCGCGCCGTCGCAGCGGGAGTGCCCGCACTGCTGGAACAAACAACTCGACGATGCTTTTTAGTGGACTTAAAAGGCTTTTTAGCCTCCCACTCGCCGGAACAGCCTCGCCTCCATTAGGGCACGCCACGGGAACCCCCCCTCCCCGGTCGCGCAACGGAGCGTCACATTAAACGGATCAGAAAGAAGAGAGAAATATAGGTGGAGAAAGAAAGAAAAGAAAGGAAAACAGAAAATGGCGGGATCTTTCGCTCACTGGGGTCCGGTAAAAGCCCTGCGATCCGCTTTCGCTGACGGTGGCAGCGTCGCCGTCGTCGCCGGTGCTGCTGCCGTTGCTGGGTCCCACCTGCGGGGAGGGAGACACTTTGCGGCCTCGCTCTTGGGGAGATCGGTACGGGGAACGTTCTCGGTCGGCTGAACGCGCGCCTACGTCGCTGCTCGGAAGATCCGAGTTTTTTTTTAAAAGGCGAAGATAAATAAGTGGCCGAAAGGGATTCGGGCCAACCCGCTTTTTAGATTTCCTGGGATTTGTGTTCTTTTTTTATTTATATGTATTTTTTTTTTCTGGATGTCGGCCAGGGCGGCCGTTACGCTCCCGGAGGCACTGCCTGTCCTCATATAGAATAGTGCTCGTTAGATACAAGGCCGAGTTGACTCTTTTTTTTATTTTTTTTAGTCCTGGGATACTTTACAACAGAAAAAGCTTGTGGCTGTTTGTTCACGCGGCTTCATCGAATCGACGGATAAAAAAGGTTCGTCATAGACATCGCTTCTTTACGTATGGGCGTAATAGCCAACGGCGATGCCGTTATTCATCACCGAAAAAAAAGACAGTTGATTACAGTTGCAATTACTGCTTACAAATGGGATTCATTAGGTCATCTAATTCTAACTAGTGGATATCACTTGCAAAGCTACAGTTAGTTCAGTTTTATACCAGAACACGTGACTGTGCTGAGTCGGTACGGTCTTGTTTCATATAAGATTTTTAATATACATATATTCGTATGCTAAAGATGGGAGAGACAATAGCATTGCGCAGACTCTGCAAAAATTTTAGTTGTCATTTGACCACTTTAAGATAGAAACAAATAATTTTCAAGATTTTTTTCAGAAGCTGGCAACAAAGCAAAACTAAAAAGAAGCTAATCAGAGTAATCGATTACTAATTATTAAATTACTCGTGGTTTTTACCTGGCTGTTTTCTGTGAGAACGCTCCTCAGTCGGTCAGTTTTGTGCGAAAACTTTCTGTTTTAGGAATAAGCTGAATAGTCGACACAATTAGGCATCTATCCATTTTATATGAGGTTTTCATTCAGGTAGAGTGTCCTACTCAGTGACTGTCTTCAGCACCTGGGTAGTTTATGAACAGACGTATTCGCTATTTCTGCCAATATTTCCCAGCCTTTTAAATGATTGTTGGAGGGATTGGAGAGTATACCCAAAAGCGTGCAGTACGATGCGATATACATTCTTTTATGGAGTGATACGGCAGCACATTTTTCTAGATGCCAATGGCGAACGCTCAGCAGTGTAGTTATTAGAAACTATAAGGGCAAAGTTTCCTTTCTTTCATTTTTTCTACAGAGTTATAACATCGCGCTACCGTCATGAGTTCAGGTTGATATATTTAAAGATGAATACTCTACATCTGACCACTTCATCTCATCGTTCGTCCCCGCTCGCCCGTTGCAAAAAAGTTAAAAGACACTGAAATAAAGAAAATACAAATGAAAGCCTGAATGAAACGCGATTTTTTGCATTCGTTTACGAAAAAAAATCGAACAATATTTACGTCATTAGACGCAATTTAGGTGGACGTCACGGCCCACTCTAAGCCCTGAACACAGATCTGTGGACCCGCCATTACTACTGGATTGGCTCGACTGCTTGGCCGAACACGCTTGCAAGCGTAGTGTCTCCCTGTCGCGACGTCCGGTGCGTCTAGTCTGTCATCCCGCCTGCCAATCGTGCGAGCAGACGCGCGGCAGCCTCTGGCGTCGTCTGCTATTCCACCACCGTCTATCGTTGTCTGCAACGCCCGTAAAGGGGTATCAAGGCGGAAAGCGGAAAGCGTGCACTTTTCCAGCCGAAAAACGGGAAGCCAGAACGCTTCGTGCGTTTTTCGATTCGGACATGACTTTTTGTTAGAGCAAGACGGAGGCGTCGGGAGAGAAAGGAGCGCGTGACGTCAATTCAGTCGTCAGAAAGATGTCACTCAGGATGGACCAATAAGAATGTCTCTGCCCACATGCTTCTTCTCGCACTTCGCGTCTTTTGGCCTCTTTCTTCCTTGATCCTGTGCGAAGTTTCTGTTTGCCGAGTCGCTCCTGCTTTGCCTGCTCCTCTCCAATAACCTCGTCCCTGTGATTGGTTGCGCCCAGTGGTTTCCTCACGCACGCATTCCAAGGCCCCACCCGGGGGACCCCCGTCAAAAAAATGGGACGAAGCGGAACGCGTCGGAAAACTCTCCGCTGAAATTGCACGCTTTCCGTTCTTGGTTTGGTGATTAGGACGTGATCAAGAAAGCGGCTCGTCGGTGTTCGTTATCGCATGTCTCCGTCTGCTATTCTGCTCCTGTCTAGAAAGGTCCGCAACGCTCCCAAGACGCGACCGTAAAAGTGGCGTTCTAGTGTTTCATCATGCACGAGCCACGGTTCAATCAGGAGTATTCACTGACGGCCATAGCTGTGTGCGCGAATGGTGAGTGCGTGCTGATGGCGAGCTTCCACAGTTCTTTTGCAATGTGCATTCCGCACCATTAAGAGTGCCGGTCTTAGCAGCCTATTGATGTGAACTCGTTCTGAGCACGCGCTCTAAACAGCACCCACACATATGGCGTCCAGTGAATACTCCCTATACAAGTTTCTCTCAGCGTCTGTCGATGTGCGGTAAAAAGCGAGAGGGGACTAAATAAATCAAAATAAACATGCAGACCTTCCGGCTTTTCTGTTCTTGTTATGATGTTTTTTTCTGTTTTTGTGTTTGTTTTTTTGCGTGACATGCGCGAGGAAGTTGGGTAAGCATCATGGAGCACGATTAAAACGCGACCTAAAAATCGCTTTCGGAGGCCAGGTGCATTGCAAAACTTGAGAGCTACTTGCCTTTCGAAGCGAAATGACGGAAACATACCTGGACAAACTTGATGCGAGCCGAACGACCGATTGCTTCCAGACAAATGGTTAGCCAATTTTTACCTGCGTATGTATCTTCTCGGTACCGAAACCATGGTTGCAATAACGACGGTGGCACAATTCACACCAGCGAGGCCGGTTTTACGGGAATCAACGTCTTTATTCAGCATCAACACGCGCAAACGAACCAATCAAGCCAAATCCAGCAAAATAGTTGACGTGGGGCGCAACGCTTAGGCCAGTACCGCTACGAAAACAAGCACCCGCACGACGCTTCCAAAGGCGCGTATTTGCGACAGTTGTTTGCTGTAAATTAGGTCGGTTGAGATCTTCCTCTAAACGCCTCGGTGAACGCAGAACGACTCGCACCCATAAAAATTATGAGCTCAAATCTACGTTCGTTGAGCACGT